GAATAATTGATTGTGATTCGTCCATTTCTTATGGCTGAAGAGTGGAGTCCAATGAGGTGTAACCGCGTAACGAATCAATAATCAGTAACGATGAAATCACACGGTGCTGAAAAAGTCTACAGAAGAGAGAATGCATCATTGAAACAATCAATTAGCGTTATTCGAAATAATGCAAAATAACGCTGATTGGTTGCTTCTTCTGAAGCATTCTCTACTTGCTGATTGGTTGCTTCTTCTGACGCATTCTCTACTCAACAATTGTTTTTCACACCGTGTGATTTTATCCTAAGGATGCCGTCCCATGTACACTCAGGGTACCGTCATATGCGGCATAACTTGCGTAAGCGTAACTTTCGCCGACCAATCATATCGTTTTATTTGTACAATTTCCGCTTAGTTACTTTACGTTTTACACTATTTTGTTGTTATGCCAAAACATGGAACTACCATGCATAAAATCCAATTTCTGGCTCATTTTAGCTTATTCTATTTTAAAAAATGCACGTGGCTTTCAATTTGGCAACAGTACAGATATAGAAGTCGTGAACTCCTTTGTATCACGTGGAAAGTCGAAATCAGTGGAAACCAGTCGGAACCCATGTGGGACAGTTTATTACAATTACAGATTTCCTAACCTCAATAATCATCAACTTTAGCACTTAATATCTCAGATAGGGCAGAGCGACGCACTTTTTTGCCAGAAAAATTATATTTTTTGGTTTCATTCAAAAACGCAGTTTTTGAGTAAACCTAAGAGTGGTTTCTTTCTCTCTTACAAAACTCCGATTTTAATGATTCATTCGATCATCCGCTCACATGTACGCGATGAAAAGGTTCCCGATGAGGCGTACTTGTCGAGACGCGTAGATTATGAAAACCAATCGTAAATTCGTTTAGCATTTCTGTTAGAGTGTACAACAAAAATTCTAATCAGCAATTGGTCGCAATTGTTTAATCTTCTGCGAAATACGCTTAATGTGAATCCCAATTTTTAGAATGGCGTATTCTAGTAAATAAAATCTAATGTATTCTAGTAAAATTATTAGAATATGCAGGTTATACAACTTATGCCTCGTGTGACGGTACCCTCATGGACAGAAAGGTAGCGACACTTTTTATTCGATAACTTTTAGAATACGCAAAAATTTTCGGAGTGCGATTCACCATGCGCTATCGATGCGTGTGATGAGCGGTCATGACAGCTCAGGGGCTTCAACAAATATCGCATACAGACAGGATTAATAAAATCGTGTTAAAAAAAAAAACAAAACATTTAGTTTTTTTGTTTAAAACATGTTTTTAATGTTTTATATATGTTTTAAATAGCTTTAGAAAAAAATCATGTTTAAAAAAAAACCTTTTAAATATATATTTATTATATTTTATTATAATGCATTTTTACTTTCAAATATATTGAAACGTTTTTGAGGTACATTTGAGCATTTATAATTACACCTACTCCCTCATTTTTCTTAAACTTAAGAATATTACCACATAAATATAATTATGTTTGAATGTATTGTTTGCTATTTAACATTTTATTTGACTGTATATATATATATATATATATATATATATATATATATATATATTATTTTTTCAATAATTAACAAGACATTAATTGATAAAAATTGCCGAAAATTGGTCTTCAATTATTTTTACTCAAATACTATCAACTTTACAGAAAAACTGCAAAAGACAAAAATTGTTTATTTTTTATTTAGGTCTAGGCTGTGTTCGGAAATATCACTCGTTGGTGTGTTTCGGTGATTTCAGTGGAGAAATAGTAGGGTATCGTGTGCCTTTGGGTGATGAGTGTTCTCGAACGGCTTCCGTGTGGCGTGTGTGTCATCTCAATTCCACTTCCCGCTCATGTTTAACCCTAACCTCGAGCTAAACAATTCACCGGTGAAGAAAAGTGGAATGATTGTAGAGGAACGACGGCGGTATATGATTGTAAAAAGGAAGGAATATAAGTCATTCTTTCCACGATTACTGGCGCCTATTAAACATTCTACTATCGTACCGAGTAAATATATTGGGTCATCTAAAAAGTATCCGCAGTTTTTTGTCACTAGATGTGTTGACCATCAACACTATCTAGTGACAAAAAACCGCGGATACTTTTTAGATAACCCAATAGTACTGGACACATACAATTTTACAACATTTGTACAAATAATCTATTGTATTATGTGTGTAAAATATGATTAAAGGCAGAGCAATATGAAAAAAAAAATTAGAATAAAAATAAATAAAAAAATAATAAAACTTAGACAAATTTTCTAGATTAATATAACTGCTCAAAATTTTTTGACCTAAGAACACGATGTAATTGTCCTTTTCTCCCATTCCAAGAAGTAAAAGAAGAATTTCGATTAGTTGATTCTCTTATACACTATGCATTATGCGTTATACTAGTCTGTGCTGTGGCCATTACATACCGGCTCACATCGATTCCCCTTGCTTTTCGCACGGGTGGTTTAGTGGCACTGAATATGACTCTCTCGATGTTTTCGAACGATCTCACATTAGTACACACGAGTATTTCCGAATGGCTGGTGTGTATTAGTGGTACACCAATGAGTGTTTTCGAACGCAGCCCTAGTCTACAATCAGTCGAGAGACGTTGTATGCCTTGCCGTAAGAAATTAATCAATCATGATTGTCGATTGTTTCTTTCCACGCAACAACCGAATACGCATGCGTTCGACATCCGACGCCGATATATGACGTATTGTAGAACAGACCTTATTGTAGAATGTGTGTTAAGACTTAAACATAATAGGACCAGACGACAGGGAATAATGAATTATCCAATCAGAACTCTGGGATATAATATCGAACTTATACACCAGAGATCTGATTGGACGGCTCGTTATTCCCTGTTGCCTGTGCCTGTTTTGTTTAAGCCTTTACATGTATTCTACAATAAGTATTAGTCATAAATCAGAAGTTAGAAATTGGTAATTGACGACGTCAATTACCAACAGTTTTTAACTTCTGATTTATGACTAATGGCTTATTGTGGAATGACCATTAAAGCGGGAAGCACAGACTTTTGCATAACGCATAAAACATGAGGCATAAGAAATTGAACCAATCAGACTTCTATATTTCATAGAAAAGAAGAAAAGATGAAGGACTTCGGTTGGTACATTTACATCTCCTTATGCATTACATGCATTTATGCGTTCTACAAGAGTCTGTGCTCCCCGCTTAAGGCTTGTCCTTTTTGGCTGAACTTTTGCATCAGTTATCTTTCTTTCTTTTCTCTCCAGGAGGAAAGATGAAGAAGAAGAAAGATGAATTGATGCAAGTTCAGCCAAAAAGGACAGGCCTCTATTAGTTGTATCAATATCAAACAATCGCATTTGTCTAAATTAAGTTAAATTGATTATTTTGAACGTGTAAAATGGAAAATAAAAGGAAGAAGCGTGATGAGGATAATTATGAATATGATCCAGCTCCTAAACATTTACAAATAGGTCATACCAAGAATCAAGAAAAGCGTCTTATCGTTATTTGTCGTCGTTTGGAAAATTCTCAATTGGAATCTGTAAAAGTGAGGTTATATTTCTTTTTATATCTATTGATAATTACAAATTCAACAATGCTTTTTATCATTATCATTTATTTATTTACATTTTTATAATTTTATTTTTCTGCATCAATAAGCATAAAACATAATTGCAGGTTGGAAATAGTTTTGAACTATTGAACTGCAACTGTTGATCATACATTTTGAAAAAATATAAGCGTGATTCAGGCACATGTAGACCAGATATCATTCATCAGGGTCTGTTATTGTTAATGGACAGTCCGTTAAATTGAGTTAGATTGTTACAAGTTTATATACATACAGAAAAAATGTATTGATAGAAATCAACCAGGATATCAAGAACATTCAAACGCTTTGTTGGATTGATGGGTAAATGCCTACGATCATTTTAACTATATCATAATAGATAAACTTAAATAGCAATAATAAAGATTTATAAACTCGTTTTTATTATAATATTATTATAAGATTATAAGTGATTTCTATATATCCTTTTAAGGCAGTATTCATAGTCAATTTTTTTATTAAGTACTAAATCCACGAAATCTTGTACCTAATGAAGATCTTGTTATCGTAGTTGGAGCTATGGCGCATGGTCAAGTAAATTATTATTATTAAATGATATATTACTACCATTATATTAAAAATTATATTGTATTATAAAATATTTTATATTCTTGTTTCTTTGTAGATCAAAACAGATTACACAGAAGATACCTACTCAATTAGTAATTATCCTCTCTCAGGTGCCATTGCCTGTAGTAAATTATGTACAGTATATATTTCATTTGACAACATAGATATGATAAAATTGCTAAAGATGAAAAAAAAATGTGACAAACTGATGTGATGTGTATTAACATGTACATAGCGACAAATTTAAACATGTGTTAATCAAACATATTCATTATAACATTTGAAATTTATCAGTTGTAAAATGTACGAATGAAATAATATTATTATTAAGTATAAATGGTTAACTTTTTTTGTATTTATCAGCGCTCATAATAATCAGAAAAATTATATTCATTTGTGCATTTATAATATTAATTATAAATTGATTCACGAATGTTAAAATGAATGCTTTTCAATCCTGAATGCATATTTTATTTCATTTATAGGAATTGCATAGAGCATATCTCTATATCTCTCAATCTAAAAATAATATTAACTTTTTCTGTGCATTGTGAATACTGTTCAATTCAAAATTTTGAATAGGAAATGAAAGTTTTTCAGTCTAATTGCATCCAAATGAATCTAATTGAATTCAATTAAATCCAAAAAAAAAGTATTCGCTATTTAAAATTTAAACGCACTCGGATAGAAAAAAATTTTAATCCATTTTAATCCATTCTCATTTGCTGAGTAAACGAAAGATAATCTGAACCATTAAAAATTACTGCGAAAGATGTCTTCAGACATTTTGCTCTGCTCTCTTTTAAAGCTGTACTTTTTATTTTTGACGTGTGATGTTATGGTGCCCAATGCCATTTTAAGTTAGGATAACATATCATCAATAAATGAATACGACATTGCACATACATGATGTAACTCTGTTTGCTCTGTCTAATAAAAAGAGATAGATACTTATAGTACATTCATTACTAACATGTCGACTCATATATCTAATATAGAAAATTGTATGTATATTATATTATGTGAACACACACGCACACACACGTACGCATTATATAAACAGATAAAAGTTACTCATGTTGAGATAATCATGCAGATATTATTTCTTTATACGTAATATTAGAATTTTATGTACATACATTGTATAATGTGTGTGTGTTCACATCGCATAAACATAACATTTATAATTCTAATATTGTTATACATATAACAAAATACTATTAGTGAATATAAATTATAATTATATTTTATATGTATTATAATGTACATATACACAATAATGTACTCAAAATATAATTTTAATATTGCATATATCAATAATTCACTAATATGTCTATATGCAATAATAGAATAATATTTCGTGTCATTGTGTATGTATACATACATTATAATACACAAAATGTAATTGTAATTCGTATTTATGAATGTCTTTTTATATACAACGTTAGAATTAAATTTTATATATCATACACATTATATATTATTGTATAATATAAAAGTCTAATATTACATAAAAATGAATATAGAGAATATCTGCATGAATATTCTAGCATGAGTAATTGTTAATAATGTGTTTTTACTGATATATTATAATACACGTACAATTTAACATATTACACGTATAAATATGACATTGGCTTATCTTAGCGCCAAGACACTATCGTCTCCAGATCAGTAATATGTCTATTTGAAATAATATATTTGAGTATAGATGATTTCTATCTCTCTTTTTGATAGACACAGCAAAAAATGGAGTAACTACATATATACATATATGCAACATGTGTCCATATATTGACAATAATACATGATCTAAAATGACATTGGTCATAGGAAAAAGTGATACTACGACTGTGTAACGATATAAATTGCGAGTACTGAAAATATGTAATATACGTAACTATAGATTTTCAATAATGACAGTGTACATTGACACATGGCCATAATAGCATTGTTCCTTTCGTACAATGTCATTTTAGGATGTAACATGTATTAGCAATACATAGATGTATTACACATATAATATACGAAGCTGCTCCATATTTTGCTACGTTTAATAAAAAGTTGTAGAAGTTACTCATGCTAACTATTTATGCATTCTCTATGTTTAAATATGCAATTTTAAAATTGTATGTATACATATAAAATATAATGTATATATATGTACATATAAAATTTAATTGCAATATTTTATATAAATAAACATAGGGAATATCTGCATGAATACCTCAGCATAAATTATTTCTAGCTCTAATTTGTGTAGATATTCATACATCATAATGCACACACTTGCAATATTCTAATATTGAGAAAAACAATTATTATATAGAAGACTTTAAATCTATAAAATATACGTATAATTAATATAAATTAAGGCTAATGAGACAATATAGATACGTAGGCTGCTGGAAAAGTTTCTGCAAACAATATGAAAAAAAAACATGTAAAATTCGGTATGGCTTTATTGTTTTTCGAAGCATTTTTTCCACTCTGAGGCTGTAATCTTAGAAATCAGTGTACGAAATGTTTCAACAACTGCTTCAGACGACTCAAATCGCTCACCACGCATCTTCTTTTTAACGTTTGGGAACAAAAAGAAATCATTAGTTGATAAATCAGGTGAATACGGACAATGAGTCATCAATTCGAATTTATGGATAAAAAATCCATGATTTGACGTGCTGTGTGACAGCTGGCGTTGTCATGATGATGCGACGATTTCGGTTTGTTCTACGCAATTCATTTATGATTTCTGGCAAATAAATTGTTGTATACCAATCAGTATTTACAGTCCTTCGATCCTCTAAAGCCACGGTTGCCACATGTCCGGTATAACTGAAGAAACGAGCAATCATTTGCTTGGCTGCGTGAACGAACAACTTTTGTTGGTTTCGATTCATTTTGAAATACTCAAATATC